TCTGACTGAGACTAGAGGAACCCCAGAAGACATGGCCCCTGGACTCTCTGTTAACCCAGAACTAAAACCATTCCTAAAGCCAACTCTTCAGACAAACATTAGACTGGACTATAAAACATAAAATAATACTCGTGAAGAGTGTGCTTCCTAGTTCAAGTAGATACATGAGACTAAGTGGACAGCTCCTGTCTGGAGGTGGGATGAGAAGGCAGAAAAGGTTAGGAACTGGTTGAATGGACAAGAGAAACCCGGGGTGGAAAAGGGGAGTGTGCTGTCACGTTATTGGGATTGCAAGTAGGGTCACATAACAATGAAAAATTTTATATACACAAAAGGAGACAGAATAATATAAAGAATCACCAATTGCCCATTACACAGATTTGAAAAAATAATCAACCCATGACCAGTCTTTCCATCTATACTCTTAGCTACTTTCTACATCCCCCAGATTATTTTCAGATAAATTTCAGATATCACATGATTTCATCCATAAATTTTTCAGCACATAGCTCACAAGAATTCTTTTCTTAAATGTAAGCACAATCACCTTGTGGTATATAAAAATTAACGATTTCTTAATACCATTAAATATCTGGTCAATATTGAAATTTCCACAGCTGTCTCATGAATTGTTTTTTATACTTTATTTATCCAATCACAACAAAAATAAGGCCCATGCATTGAAATTAGTTGATATATTATATCTTGTAAATATTCTACTGGTTACTCCGTCTCACATTTTTATCCTATTGTTTGTTTAAGAAACGAGGTCATTTGGCTTGTAAAGTTGCCCACGGTCTGGATTTTGCTGATTACATAGCCAAGAGGTCATTTAACATGACTCTTGGTACACTTTATTTACTGTTCGTCAGTGTTAAATTAAGAGATGTGATCAGATTTAGGTTTGGCTATACTGTGTAAATCCCTTAAGAAACATATAACGTCTGGTGGTCTCTTTCATTGACTGTATCCACAGTTCTCAACCTTTTGGTCTCAAAATCACTTTACACTCATACAAATTGTTGAGAACACCAAAACTTTTATTCCTGTGAGTTCTAGAAGGAAGATAGACACTATATTAGAGGTAAAAACTAACAAATTATTTAAATCATTATTTATTAACATTTAAAATAATAATAAT